TCCTTGTCATTCTATTACCTTGTTGGTAATCTTGGCAGGTCACTTAATTTACTTGAATTTTTTTCCCTATAAAATAAAGATAACATGTACCTTAAGATAATTTACGTGTAAGTGTTCAGAAATGTATGGTATTATATTTTCCTTTTTGAAAAGAGTCCCTATTTATCACGTCACTTTCCTAAAACAGAAGATAAAGTAGCCAATGCACATTCATGTGCCATGTACACACCCCAGCAGCCTAAACATTCAATCACTTCCTTTGGGGTTATAAAGAATTCTACAGCCGTCTGAGATCCAGGGGTTGTCAGCTTTCTAGGAAGTCACATTTACTGCTGGTCTGGTGACATCTCCTCTAAGATGCAGCAGCTGCTGTAGGTAGCACTTTCCTTGTGGACGTGACCTTCTTGGATCCTCACCACAGCATGGCAAGGTAGGTAAAGCAAGGACAAATACCAGTCCTTTATGAAGGAGAGAGCCAGGTGTCCTGAGATGAACTATTGTCACCACCAACTCCACCTTCAGCTATTAATTGATGTCTCACTCAGACTTAACTTCTGCCTTGCTGCTCTAAATACCCCTGTCATGTGTGTAAAAGTCAGAGCAAGTTATCTTGCTGCCTACAGTTCTGCACTGGGTCAGCACGGTCCTCAGGACCAAGGTGGCACACTTTGCCCGACCCAGGTTCTGCTCCCTTCTCTCGTGTCTGCTGAGAGCTCTCCTGGGCATCTCTAGCAGCCACAGAATTGCTCCTACCCCTGAAGCTTTGCATACTGTGTTTCTCCTTCTGCCTGCAGTGCTCAGCCCACTCCTACTGCTCCATCCCCACCCTCAATTCCCTGCACTCGATTCAGACCAGTTGCCTCCTTTTCCAGGGTCTCTGCTGACCACTGTGTCCACCCTGGGTGCTCCTACAGCATGGCCACTGCTCACACTTCTCCTCACGCCTGCTGTAGTTAAGAGTCCACCCATTCATGTTTCCTCAAATACCATAGGGGACAGGGCCTGAGCCTCCCCATTGTTTATTAAAAAACACAGTAAGTGCTCAGAAAATGTTTCACGAGTGAATAAAATCATGATTAAAATAGGGACAGGTGAAAAGTTAGTTTTGGTACACAGTGCCTTGGATTTGGCAGGATCCTAACTTTCTGTCTCTCCTTCACTGTCATTTTTTTTCACACTGCCTTTAGTTTGGTCAGGGCTTTGACTATTAGGCAATGACTTAAGGCTGGAAGGGTGGAAAGGACTGTGTATCACGCTGTGTGATCACGTGCCCCGTGAGCACCAGGGATCCCTGTAGCCCACCATCGGGGACCGGGACAGAGGTTTGGGCTGAGCCAGCAAACTGGGAAAGCAAGGGGTCACTGACTCATTTCAGGAAGATTGGCTTAAATTGTTTTCTACCTGGGCTACTGCCTGAGATTTCATTTGATCAGTTTCCATAGCTAATGAGGATGGATGAGCGCTGGTCCAGTTCAAGTCCCTCATATTAATCATGATCTCTAGAAGCACAGAGAGGGCAAGGGGCTCGTCTGAGACCCAGCCGCTGGGGACAGACCCTGGTGAGAACCAGCCTACAAAGAGCACAGGCAGTGCCTGTCGACATCACAACACACTGGTGAACAACTGGCAAATAGAGTCAGGGATCCAGCTACCCTTTTCTCAGTGGGCCTTCTGCTTCCCGTTAGTAAAAGTCCTTCAAGTTGTACTTCAGAATTCCTTGAACAGCCCGGCCTGCACAGGAAGTCACTCTGGTTTCTTTGTCTGTTCATCCTAGATGACTTGCTGGGAGGCAGACGGCCCATATGTATGTGAGTAAGTTAGAAATGTGGCCCGAGATGCTGCCGTACCCCACCTGTCACCATGGGGTCTCCGTAAACGTCTGTTTCTTTCATCTCCCACTGAGGGTTACCGGATACCTGCATGCATCTTGCAGGCTCTTTAGTTTGTACACAGTGATTGAAGGAAACATGCTTCAGGTGAAATACTGGTATTTCTAAAAACGATCATAAACTACAGAACAAATAATACTTTGGGCACTGTTTGGGAAAGTTTCTGTGGCAGATTGACAAATTCTACCATTTCTATAGCACAGAGATTGGGAAATTAGTCAAGAGTGCAGTTCATGCTTAGTAAAGCACTCACAACTTCTTGCCGTGACATTCATCAACCCTCCACTCGCTCTGTCAGGGTTTCTTTAAAAACTGTAGAGCAGAAAATCGCTGTGCCCATGAAAAAGCAGACTTACAGTCTCTCTGCCTTTGCCCTACTCCCGCCAAATGAAGTTTCCTGTTGGTGCCAGCCCAGGAGACTTGGGGTGAGCCCCTGGCCTGGAGAGAGGTTACCCCTTTGCTAGGCCTAGCGGGCGGGCCAGACTGCACTTCTGGGCAGGTGGCTTCTGCTGACTGCTCCCTACTTCCTTAGGTACCTTGGTCTCTGGAATTCTGCTTTCTGGTCAGACACTCTGTGTTCCTCTCCACCTTCTCCTGGATTCTGACCCTGTCCTTTGCCCAGGGCCCCCAGCCTCGCTTGCTCTACAGCATATCTTCCTGGTGTCAGCCTATCTAGAGTATATGCTACCTGCCAGGTTCTTCTCTTGCAACTAGGAGTTGTTTTGGGCTTTTCCTGTTCAGTCCCAGAGGTGTTCACATAGGGGTGATTATAAACATCTCATGAGAGTAAAAATAATGGAGATGAAGTTGTTTTCTGTGTCTGGGAAAAGATTTGTATCTCCGTTTGCTTTAGTGAGTGAGTGAATGAATGAATGAATGAATGAATCTCTGATAGTATGAAAGCTTAGTCATTGAAATACCAGGGGACAGAGTGACCATACCTAGGCATCAAATGGTAAAGACTTAATCATGATTGTGATTAGTTTTTGAAACCCAGCTTCTGATTCTAGTGTGTACACAGGGAACAGAGAGTTAGTGAATAAGGCAGCCCCCTTGCCCTGAGTGCTATGCCCCAAACTTGTTATCTTCCTCTAGGGTAGTCTGAATACATTCCCATCATCATTTCAGGCAGAGTTCTGAGATGAAGGCATTTGGCTTAATTCTATACTTGAAAAATGAACTTTGATTCCTTCCAGATTTAAAATGAAAACTCACTCTGAGGAGTATATTGCTTGTTCAACAGGAAGTGGCTATCTTGACATGGATTAGCTCAAGATGTGGATCAGCAGGACAGAAGAGGGTCAGTAAGTGACTGAGGACCAGGAGGAGGTTAAATCTCACACAGGACAATATTTCCTGACTCTGACCAAGTAAGCCCTCAGTCTCTTCAAAGAAGAATGTGCATAAATCTAAATACTCGGGGTATTTTGTATATTTGTTTCAATGAATAGTTCAGCCATGCAGGTTCATTTCATAGAGTGATTTACTTATTAAGGGCTTATGCACAGATGGTCTGACTCCTATGGGGACAGGGGTTTATATTTCTGAGTTTAACATGCAGAGGCACTTTTTAAGTATCTTACATGGAATAGCTCACAGAATACTTATAATAGCCTTAGGAGAGGGGTGTTACTATCTTCATTTACAGATATAGAATCTGAGATGCTGGAACTTTAGCAGCTACTTCAAGGTCAGATAGCTAGTAAGGAGAGGTAAAACTTGAACCCCAGCAGTGTGTATGCCGTCAGAGCCTGCACCTTTAACACTTGGACCACATGTATGACTGCTCGTTACAGCTCTCATTCGAAAGGGTTTCTGGAAGATTCTTGGAGGACATTAAATCAAAAGCTCTCCATCTTTACTCACCCTAAGACCTGGAAGCCCAAGCCTTACTTTTTGCGGATATGCATGGGCACAGGATTACTCGTACACTGAGCTCTGTAAAACCTTTTTTGGAATTATTGACTAGGGTGTAATTACTATAATGACAGCAAATGCTGTAATTATGTCAAATGACATAATTTGTGTAGTAAATGTGGTACATATAAGGAAATCACTAGACTGTATAATTGTTGCATCCTGACAAGGTTGCAAGGTTGCCTGTTAAATTAGGTAAAGATGTGTACAGCCAGAGAGCATAGATTTAAGTTTGGTAGTGAAAGGAAGGAGCTATTTAGAAGCTGGACAAGATAAACCATTTTCAATATTTAAAATCACATGCATCATTAAGTGATTTATGAAGCCCAAATAGGGCTGCTTTGCCTATCTGAGGCTATCTGTCTATCAGTGAGCCAAATCCTAAGTGAGGATAACTGGTGAGAGTGTTCTGCTTCCCCGCAGTTCCCTTCCCTATCTCGGGCTTAGACATTCCTATGAGGGTTGAGTAGTCCAAGCACCATAAAATGGGATCCCAGAAAACTCAGCCCAGTTCTTGGGAGTTGGGCAATTAACAGTGCTATGGTTTAGATGCTGAATGTCCCCCTGAGGCTGATGTGTTCAAAGCTTGGTGCCTGGTAGGGTGCTATTGAGAAGTGGTAGAAACTTAGCGAGGTAGGGAAAGTGGGAGGTGCTTAGGTCATGTGGGTGTGACCTTGAGAGGGATTGTGGGATGTGGGCTCCTTCTTCTCTTTGCTCTTCAGCTCAGATGTAAGTATCTTTGATCCACCATGCTCTGCTATGAGGGGCTGCCTCACCACAGGCCCAAATCAACAGGGTGAATCAATCATGGACAGGCACCTTCACAACTGGGACAAAATAAGGTTTTCTCTTTATTGGTTGTTAAGGTTTAAATCTAAAATGTTTCCTGAAAGTCTTATGTGTTCAGAGGCAGGGCTTCAAGAAGATGACTGGATCATGGGTGCTATACTCATCGGTGGATTAAGCGTAGGGGAATACACTGTTAGGAGTGTGGCCTGGTTGGAAGAGGTGGGTCACTGGGGCTGTGACCTGGAAGGGTCTATTCTTGTCCCTGGCTCCTCCCTCCTCTGTCTGCTTCCTGGCTGCCATGAGCTGAGTCACTGTCCTCCATGATGCCCTCCACCATGCTGTTTCTCCATTAGCACCAGCTCACCATGGACTAAACCCACTGGAAACTGCGAACCAAATAAGTCTCTCCTCTGTTAAACTGTGGGTGTGAGGCATTTTGTCCCAGTGATGGGTCAGTGACTGAAACATTAGTTTTTCATTATCTCATGTATTCCATTATAATGCTGGAAAGCTAACACAGATTGTTCCAGTTTAATGGCAAATAAAGACTGGTTTCAATGCTAAGCCAACTTGGCTAACCAGTCCTTACAAAAACATTAGTGAAACTCACTTGCCTCATACACTGACATAAAAGTTTCAGCATGTTATATAAGGGGTCTAGACCGAAAAATTTTTGGTGATAATAGAGATCACCAGTATCTCCAAAAGATTTAGAAGCACCACTTTGATTATCAGATTTGTGATATATGTTGTGGAGAAGTAATATGTAATATATATTTAGAATATTACACAGAACTAGTATATACATGGAACTAAAATAGATATATGTTGCACACAGTTAAATATATGTGTATTCATATATTTTATTTAGCTCTGTAGCCATATATATGCACATGCATATGTATATATATATATATATCTGAGAGATTAAAATGTAAATATAAATAGTAAGTATATATGAAGTTAAATTTCTTGTAGCTCAGATTTAATTTGCAGGGCAAGACCTCTGAGCCTATAGTTTGCATTGTTTTTAAAAATTTCATGTTACAAAGACAATATAGTGTGTGTGATGGGAAAAATAAAAGATTTCTGCAATATTCTCATGACACCATACTGAATGGTATGTTCTTTTTGTAAGTATATTTAAAAATAGGAGTAATTGTCTTTATATGAATGTAAGATGAACTAGTCTTTGATTTGGAGGACAAATATAAGACAACACAGAAAATTTGTTCTCTGACATCACAGACTCTCAGAGGTGGAAGAGATTTAAAGGTCATTCAATTCAACCCTCATTTAATGAGATTATATGGTAGTCAGAAATAAAGAAAGAAGAAGAAGAATTCCAACTCACAGGCTTTGGAGTTTTCCATGGAGAGAAGAAACCTGTAACAAAGAAAACAATATTTGAACTTTGAAAATATACCCCACTACATGGTATGATATTAATTCTAATTCACTTTAAAATGGTTAACAGCAACAACCAAGAACAAATTTCTACATGACTATGAAATTATTTTTGAGGAGCTAAAATCATTTCATTGAAATTATATTAATGATTCTAAGAGCATTTTCTTAATGGACCACGGAGGATGCTGAAACACAGAGAAAGTGATTGATTATGTGGCAAACAGCTACTTCACAAGGTCCAAGATTGAGTCAGCCCTAGGAATTTCATCACTCAGGCTTAGCAGGACACACAGAGTGTACATGCATAAAAATTTAGATTTACCTTTGCTCAGGGTAAGACATGACCCTGCTTTATGTACCTACTTCATATAGTTAAAAATCAATCAATAAGCCTTTGTTATTCCTAAACTTAAAAATAATGCTATATATCTCTATTATAAATCAAATTCTACCATAAATTTTTATGTGACTTCCCTCTTTGACATCTCTAGTGCAAATTTTTATTTTATTATCCTTCCACCCCAGTGCTAGCAAAATGTTTCACACAAAGAAACTCAAAATGTTTGCTAATTGAATGAACAGTATACCACTGAACCATTTTTATAAACTTAAGCCCTTTCTATTTCCACAAACAATATGATTAGACAGACTCCACTAAGGATACATTAATTTCCTTTATAAAAACTATCATTTTATCACATAGGTTCATTTTTTTTTTTTTTTTTGTTTTTTCTCCGGTACCAGGAACCGAACTCACGACCTTGCACTTGCCAGGCAGGCGCTTTTGCCGCTGAGCTAAATCCCCAGCCCCTAGGTTCATTTTTTTAAAAGGCAGTAAAAACAAGCTCAAAAATAATGGGGGGAGCAGGGACTGATGTACTGGTCCTAACGATCCAAAACTTAATCTAGCAGATGAAACAAAATTACTTTCTTCTTATATAATATCCTCCCTCTCTCAATGATTTTTTTGCTCAAGTTAATACTAGGTGATGTCTGATGAAATGTCCAAGAAAAATGAAGTACTGAAAACACCCACTGTGCTTATCATCTTTAAAGCAGAGATGTTCAAAATAGGAATAGTTGATGACCAAAATCCATTTATAGGACAGAGCTACAGAAATCTGGACACACAGTTACCTAGACACTGAAGCAACCCAACTGAGGCATGGCCAAAATACTAATACTTTTGTATACCATTGTGATGCACTGATGATTGTATACAAAGTGAAACTATGGAATTCATCACGGTCCTCAGCTTTTCTGTGGTGCTGTTTTTTTTTTTTTTTTTTTT